AAATAAATAAATATATATAATTGTATTGTTAATAAATACTAAGTGTTAAATTACGAATACAAATTAGCTATTCCTATTGGAGACTAAATTTTTCTCATTCGGTTAGAAATTGTGAAGTGCCATTCATGAAATTACTTTATAAAATTGTCCGTTAAATACCGTAGAAAAATAATCTCCTTGTATAGTGATTTATCATTTTATGTGATGTATAAAATACATAAAATTATAAATCGCCGAATAATTGCTCTGGTTTGGCAATAGGACCAATTAAAACATAGACTATTTGTACTTTATTCAGAGTGTTGTGGCATACAAAACGAGCTCGAAAGTTTTAAGGATTTTTTAAAAAGAAAAGGTAGATGTATCCAAAAATACTGACCTAATTAGAAGACAACAAAACTCGAAAAAGAACCTTGGGGCAAGAAAAGCATTTAAGTTAAAGTCGATCAAAAGCAATTAACAAACGACTTTTCTTTTGCACATTTCACTGCAATAAGAGCGGAGTTTTTCTTTACACGGCATGGAAATGGGGAGCAGGTCGATGAGAATCCCATTAGTGCATCATACAAAACTTGGTCTAATTGTACTCCGACTTTCTCCTTCGGGCGTCGTCCAACTCTGATGGGGCACTGGACCATCGGCTGGATAAAAAAAAGCCGTGCCGTCGAATTAGGAGAAAGGATAAAAGGTCCATTGTAACAGTTGGAGAGACGTTTGTGTACAGACAAATCCGGGTGGGTATCCCTCGGGAGCCCCTACCCCCATACATCATTAACCACGTTCGGGCCGGCCGACCGTCTCTCGGGTATTGTGAATTTCCAGCCTCCGACGACACCAATGGTCGAGGGACATCCACCTAAGCTAAACGCCCTTAGGACTTTTTCGTATCAGGTCCATTTTAATTAAACGGAACAGATTTAAAGGCACTGTGTTATATGCCCGTACTTTAATCAAGTTGAACGTCCGACCCAGCCTACACCTGGAAGTAAATAACATGGAAATGAACTGGCAGAATTTTAACGAATTTACTGGTTATGAATTAATAATCGGAACGAATCTCTTTACTTCAGAATGTTCTGGACGGTTGACTTATACCTCTCTACGATTCAAAATCTGAAAAATATGACTTTCCTATCTCGTCTTTTCCAATTGGCCATTAAATTCTTCAGTCAGAAAAATATAAATATAGAAATATTAAAAATAATATGTAAAGAAAATATTCACAGTAATCCTAAATTCCGTCTGTCTTAATTCACGTTTTAAAAATAAATTTATATTATAATATTGTTATAGCATTTTTCCGTTAAAATAAAAAATCATGAATAGCATAAAATAAAATTGCCAAAATAAAAAGCAATTTCTTCTGAATTGTCTTAATTTAAATCTAACCTATAACTAAGCAAGTGATTTAGTAGGGTATTCACGATGTTTGTAAGATGTTAACTCGTGTAAATTCGAATAGAGAAATGTCTAGTAAGATCATGAACGCCCCTTCTTTTCTTACAAAGTTAAACGTTAATTCTTCCGCAATGCTGCGCGTGGCGACTGTTAGAACCGCAAATAAAGCTATAGCAGTCCTTGAAGGCTTGTTGTTGTTTGTTATGGTTTTGTTTTGTGTTAAATTGTAAGATGCCAGAAGTTAGTAAACAACGAAAATTAATCAACTCGAAAAGTACTAACAAATGACACGCTTTAATTCGTGGCGACATACCTATCGCCTAACAGACTATTACTTTACAGGATAGAGGATGTATTTATTATGAAAGAGAATATAAAGACAGGCCAGTAATTAACAGAAGAAATGTATTGGTCTGATTTAATTAATGCGTATTTAAGAATAAAAATACATGTAAACGAAAAACAGCTGTTAAATTCATGGCTGCCATGTTGGTTAGCTACGCCCTATCGGCTATCAACGTGACTATATCTTCGACTTAACATCTAACATTGGCCCTACCCTGTTAGATCGAGCAATGTTAATTAGCCGATTCTTACAAGTCTACGTCATTAATTTTTCTCGATCTAACACGACCTAACGGAATTAACACGGTTAACACAAAGATCGTGAATACCCATATTGTCTAACAATAAAAGTAGAAATATTAGGTGTGTTTATTGAAAGTGAAAGTCAAAAACATTAATTCTTTCATGTTATAAGATATCACCAATATATTATGTTTGTTCTTAGTAAAACAATTGTTCCTTATGCATTGCATTTTATGTTCAAGTACTTGCTTATAATATATTCGTAATTGTAAGTACCTAAGTGAAGATAAGATAACGGTAGTTGCTTATAATCTTTTCGCTTGTAATCCAACATGGTTTATATCAATTTTTTATTTACAATATCGATAGATAATTTCAAATTACATATTAAAATAACTATTCCGTACTTATATTTTCGTGCATAAGGAGCGGAACAAATTTTAAAAATCAGTCAAGCAAACAGGCCGCACACAACAGAACGGCTTCCACTCACGCTCTCCAAGTGTTAATGATAGCAACCCTATTGACTTGGTCATAAAAGTCCATAATGCAAAGAGAGAGCTGAAGAAGGGATTGCTACCAGGTCTACCCGGCTTAGAGGAACATGAAGCGAATTGGTTAAGAAATGCACCCAACAGCCAGCGCCAAACTTTTCTGAACGAATGGGTAACCGACACCTGGCAAAGCAGATGGGAAAGTAGTATCAAGGACAGGCTTACTTATGAGTTCTTTCCCATCATTAAAGAAAGAAAAAAGCATAGTTGGGTGCAACCAAATTTTTGGTCCACACAAATGCTTACGGGGCATGGAAACTTTGCAGTTTATCTGCACAAATTCAAGAGAGCTAATACCCCAAACTGTCAGTTATGCAATGTTCGTGAAGATGTACGACACAAGCTATTCTTCTGCCCAAGCTTTGTACAACTTCGTCAGGACCTGCGACACAGTTTTCAGAATATATGGCCTCCAGAATTGAAGGAACTTTTGAAAAGCGAGCAAACGTATCATGTGTTCAAACAGCTTACACAGAGCATCCTAGCGGGTAGTAAACCAAGTACCTGATAAAAAAACTTTCTAAACCACCTGTGATTAAACTGTGTTATATTTAAGTGAATAACTTTAGTACAGATAATTCCGGGCTGGTTACTTCTTCAAAAATAAGTTAACATTGTTAAATAGTACCTAAAACTGTGATTGTTTTTTATTGCTTAAATTAGTATATTTATATTGTTTTGTAATTTTATATAGTTTTTATAATTTTAATTTTGTAATTTTATGATTGTATGATATTACTGTGCGAAAAGGAGTAACCAGCAAGGGGGAGACCTATTAGATTAGGTCAGTTTAAGTAATACAGAGAGGAAAAATATATATACCCCCAACCTTCCTTGTGCTCCTCGTTTAGAGTGAGGCATAAGGAAGGCGTTATTCTTCCATTTTCCCCCATAAAGAAAATAAGTCAGTCTAGAGGCCGAGATCCGCCGGTATGGGGTCTCCCTCAGGTACGGCGGGGCGGTGGATGGGAAATAAAATTTAAAAAAGCCGCACACAACCAAATTAACTTGGTTAATTGCTCAACAAAAGAATGTTCCAGGATTATTTGGGCCTAATTTATTATCGATCAATAGAAATTAGTAGAAAATATTGTGCAATCCTTCACAGTAAGTTGTTTTGCAACGTCCGGATTTCGAGCTTTTAGCTCATCATCAGCTTGAAGGAGTTCTACAACCTGATGATGAGCTAAAAACTCGAAATCCGTATCGTTGGAAAACAACTTGCTGTGAGTAGGAACTATCTTTTTATTTATATTAATGTTCTGCAATGGTGAAACTATTTGGAAAATTCGTAAAATACTTAAGTCTGTGTGGGAGATGACGTTTGGGTATGTGTTTATTAGGTCAAGAAAGCTGATCACGTCCCAAGATTTTTATTTAACTCGCTCCAATCAATCCTGAACATAAAATAGTTATAATATCTAGAAACGTTGCAAAAGCAATTGTCTATGAAGCGAGTCTCGACTAGTTGAAAAGCATCTTAACGACACAACGAATTGAACAACTATAGGCTTTCTACAGAAGTCTTTCGGCGTACTGCCTACAATTTGGGCTACATCTGTATGTTTACTTATATACTTATTTATAGTTTATGACACGAACAAGATACTATCTTATTGACGTCAAACGGCCAAAAATACTGTTGTCATATCCTCATGTCCGACTCGTAAGCCACACTGGCTGGTTCTGGGTTCGAATCCCGGCAAAGCACATAGTTTTTTAATGGATTATAATATGAAGTTTGACTCCTCGTTCACGACAACTAACTGGTCGTTGAACGTTAAGCCCTTCTGTGTAATTAATTACTGTTTTATAGTCTACCCTAATTAGCAAATATATTGCCAGATTCGTGCGCACTATTTAATCTCCCAAACTGTGTTGGGGCGCCTGTGGCCATTTTCTTCAACTACACCGCCACCTCTGCTATTGCGAACTCCCTTAAAAAAAATGAATTTAAAAATCTATCTTTCATCGTGTACAGTGAAGGAAAACCAGCAATAACGATTAATTCTAAAAATTTGGAGCAATTCAAATTTAATGTTTAATGATTTTGTTAGTTAGATACAGCTATTCCAATGAAGTTATTGTTATTAACAATTTAGTTGTTACTAAAATTTTTTTTTTCAAAACCACTAATGAACCCCTTTGTCAAAAATTGATTCAATTCAGATACTAAAACAGCGACGAAACTATTAAATTTGTTTAAACTATTGTGAAACTTGATGAGAGAAACTGGTGTTCTAAACGTGAAGCCGGATTAAGCCGAGGAATCATAAAAACTCTAATTTAAAAAAATACGATAGACTTTGATATTTCTGTTCAGTACATATTCAGAAAATTTGATAGTAGAATAATTTTCATAATATTGATATTTTTTACCTGTATTTTCTTGTTCTCTATTCCTTTTTCTTTAGCATTGAAAGAACGATTAAATAATTCTTGTTTTTATGTTTGTTCCAGAGTGATGTGGGGTGGTTGAGTTATGGACAAAGGTTGAGGAGTGGAGAGCCAGGGCTGGGTCCATGGAGGCGAACGACACGACGAAGGCGGAAGTGCACACGTGGTTCCCGGGACCCAGCTCCCCATACACTCAGGCTCAGGCTTTAATCATCGGTTTCATCCTGCTCATCGTCATTGTGGTGACCGTCATCGGTAACATTCTTGTCTGCGTCGCGGTCTGTCTCGTCAAGAAGTTGCGGAGGCCGTGCAACTACCTGCTCGTATCGCTCGCCGTCTCCGACCTCTGCGTCGCTATACTCGTCATGCCGATGGCCCTCCTGTACGAGCTGTTGGGCACCTGGAACCTGGGGCCGTTCATGTGCGACCTCTGGGTCTCCTTCGACGTGCTCGCCTGCACCGCGTCCATCCTCAACCTCTGCATGATCAGTGTCGACAGGTACTACGCGATAACCAAGCCCTTGGAATACGGGGTTAAGAGGACTCCCAGACGGATGATATACTGCGTCTCTCTCGTCTGGCTTGGCGCTGCCTGCATCAGCCTCCCGCCGTTGCTCATTCTCGGCAACACGCACGGAGAGACCCAGGAGCGTCCCGGTCCTCAGTGTCTCGTCTGCCAGGACTTCGCCTATCAGATCTACGCCACTCTCGGTTCCTTCTACATACCCCTCACCGTCATGATGTTCGTTTACTACAAAATCTTCAGGGCAGCCCGGAAAATCGTCTTAGAGGAAAGACGGGCCCAGACTCATCTGGAAACAAGCCATTACTTCTTAGAAATCAACAAAAACGGCTCCGGACCAGAGGCGAGGCTCGCTGTCAGCTGCGCCAGTTCGCCAGCAGCGAGAGCTCACCATAGAACCAGCACGACAAGCACAAATACCACTGTAAGTAAAATATATAAATAATTAATTCTTTTTTATACATTTTAATTTGCATAACAGTTCGCTGATAATAACTACCAATAGTTTAAAGATTAATGCTGTTGTTTTTCCTTCATTTTAAATGGATAAGAGGAAGTTTTGGATTCATGATGACCACCTGAAAATTATTCAAAGCTTTCCTAGCTTAGGCCGAATCACTTCGGAATATTACAAAACTTCAAAAAAATTTTATTTAAATATGCAATGGGTGGTTTGTTAAAAAGGAATTTTAAATAACAAATAAAAATGTTAGGGCAAAAACCGAAAAAACGACTTTTGCAGTTTAGATTAAGCTTAACACAAGCGCGCTTAATGAAACGATAGATGAAAAGCCGACGAGAATTAATGCTGGGTAGACTTATTTTAAACGGTGGATTAATTTTAATTGCACTGCAGGTCCTACGTTCCTTTAGGATGTTAATGTATTCATGTACTTTAAAAAAAAAACATTTTTATTTTTCAACAAGGGCAGCAGATTAAAATGTTAAATTAAAATCACGACTAAGAAACAAACGATACTTTTAGTTTGTACGAACATTCTAGCGAAATAGTATGAAAAAATTTTGATTAAGTAAGAAAATTATTTCTACCCTGTAATCATTTGGTATAACAATACAGAAAACAGTACGACATCTGAGTCGAGACTCCATTTTATTTTTCAAATTAATGATGTTGAATTCTATTTTCATCTAATCTTTTCTCTAATGAAACAAAAACTGCTTACTACTGGAAAAATAGCTAAAAAAAATAATTTTGAATTTTTTCTTTGTTTTGCTGTTGTTGGATCAGCAGTATCATTATATAATATATGTTGCAGTGCACTACTATAATATGTCGTTATCAAAAGAAAGAGATTGTCTAAAATCCTTCTATTTTTTGTCCATGTTTATGTTTTATATTTTTGAAGGAATTCCACTCCGCCTTTTTGCAGCTCTTTGCATAACAATTCAGTATATGTGGTGTGTTTTGGGCAGTCTATGATGACATGGTTTCCATCACCGGGGGTCCTTAATTCGAACTCGCATCTTACTTATACAAAAACAGATCTTATTGCTTCTTTTACTTTTTTGATACCAAGGCAAGTGCTGTATGAGAAGTTGTATGTTGGCTAGTAGCACCCTTTCATTGGTTTTGGCTGATCGTACTGCTTTTACCAATTTCTTCTAGCTTTTGTTGCATATCACATGTGACTATAACGTTCGATTTATACCTATTATATGCTGCTTCTTTCGCAAGTAGGTCTACTTCATTGTTAAGCATATTCACATTATGTACTTTGGCTCAGATGAAGTGAATTTTGACTTCTTTTTTCTTTAAACTTTTCTTGTAAATTCATAATTTTGTTTACTAGAGGATGTTATTGGCAAGGAGCTTGGAGAATTAGACTTCCTCTTATGTAGGTAGTTATGCCTGTAATATTTCAACGCTTCGATCACGGCCATGCTTTCTGCTGTGAATACTTAAAATATGTTGTGGAGCTTGATGTGTTCGTCTGGTTTCTTGGGTCTAATATGCCCGCACACCTATCCACCTATCCTGGAAGTGACGATTCCAATAACGTCTGACTTGCAAAGAATTGTGTGCTGGACATCCATCAAGCTGGAGAATCATTCGTCGTTGTTGTTGCAGAGGAACATCATCTAATATTGTCCCTCTCGAAAAGTAGAGGAACTGAGCACCATTTAAATTATTTCCGAGAAGTCGTCTCCAAACGTTGATACTGTGAACCACCTATGATGAGAAAAGTACGAAATTCTTGGATTTTCCTCTACCCACGTACAAAAATTCCAACGGTTTAATATGTCATTAAAGGTGAACTTGAATTCATCAGTCCATAGGATGTATGGAAGAGAGTTTTCTTCAGCCTCCCAAATCGACGTATGTGCAAGGATGTTAGACGCCTGTCGTAATCAGTCTCAAAGTTCCTGGACAAAATGATAGCTGTACGGCTTAAAATTGTAAGTCCGGAGTACATCTCTAATTTTATTTTTTGAAAAACCTCAAAACCATCCAACATTTCGGAGAGAAGAATTAAGATTTTCGTGAAGATACAGTAAAATATTCAGCTCCTCGCCGAAATCACGCTGCCAGTTTCTTTTTCCATAACTTTTTCCTTTTTGGACCAATTTAAAATCCGACTGGACCGTTGTTTTCAGCGTAAAACATTCTTTAAAATGTTGTGTCAGGATGAATAGTCGTATTAGAAATTTTGAAGTTTAACTGGGCCTGAGGAACCCTGTATAATTTTTTCCCAAAAAAAGGCCAAAATTGGAACTAGTCTAAAAAATATTAAAAACAATTTTTTTTATTTTTTATAGACTCATGGTTCAAGGAAAATTCAGTCGGACCATCTAATAAGGACACCCTGTATGTGCCCAATAGTCCTACTTTGTCGTGTTCGTTAAGTCCATCGGATGTCAGTCATCTATCACGGTCTATAACGGCGGATCAGGAACATTCCAGTAAACATTTGTCGGGATTGATTTCAATCTGCCCTAGCAACACCTAAATGCGTTGAAGTTTACATGGTCTAGTCTCGTTAAATGCATTTTGGCTATGTCTCCATAAAAGTGGCACCCATATCCATTAGTGATTGGGTGAATGACTTATATGTAATCGCACATATGAAGGGATAAACGCCGTACTTATTCTTGATATGGCTCTTAATGCATATATTTACAGCTGATTCGCCTTTTGCCGACCACTCAATATGTGACTTTGTAACTATTGTTGCCCTTCGCCATTATGTGCATTGAGGTTAAACGAATCGTTTCTTTCAGATTAAAAATTGTTATACTTTTTCTTTACGATAGGGAGCGTCTTACCTTCTTGGCTTACATAACGAAGCGTATCTTTGAAAACAGTATCAACATTTCAAAAATCAGCAAAAAAGGAGGGAAAACTCATAAGGTGGGGTTGAGATAGGAAGTTGATATCCGAGTGGATCGAGGTCACAATAGCTCAAGTGGTAGAGCAGCAGCGTATCTAGCCGAAGTTCGTGGGTTCGAATCCTGCTCGTGCCATTAACTTTTTTTTCATCTCAACTAAAAACCTTAATTAATTGCTTTGAAAAGGGTTTTGCTAATACGTAATACATTTTTTGAAGACCTAATCAAGAGTAATTTATTTCTATAATTATTGAAAAATTTGGCGGTCTGTCCGCTTTGAGAATAAGCTGTCGTCTTTGTACGGAAGCCGTAAAATCCGTATTGAAAACGGGGTCGGGCTTTAACAGGAGCAGGTTTTTCGGAAAGCTCGAACTGATATATTACTTGGGAGGGGAGCGATCTTTCCTCGTTTCTGTCCCGAAGTGCCCGCGCAAGCCTTAAAAACGGCTTGGTCTCGGGCTTAGCGCTGGTCAATATGCTTGAGCTTAAAAGGAAAATCCCCGCCATAATGAAAACCTTTTCAAAGCCCTTCTCCTGGAAAAGTCGATGGCAAACCTTCAGATTTGAAATAAATTATATCCTATAGATCTGAAGATGCCTGCCAAAATTGTGTCCGTCTGGTTAGGTTAACTCATAATTACTTATATATATATATTTTTTTAAATAGTATTAAATCATTTTAATAAGTACTAACATTAAAAAAAATTATAATGCATGAATTAGACAACATAGACATAGACAGACTCTGGTCCAATTCCCCTTCGCTCTTTTCTGATTTTCAAACACGAAATCCAATTAAACTCAAGTTCAGGAAAAACTTTCAGATCAGATTCGATTATTATTTTAAATGATTTAAAAATAAACTTTCCCTCCAAAGTTGTAATTATAAGCTCTATCATCAGGTAGAGACCATCCTGAATTAAGGAGGTTTCATTGATTTTTTTTTAAGGATTGTAAAAATAAATGAAATGACGAGAAAGTTAGATTGAAATACTTTATACAATGATTCATTACATTGACTCGTATGTTATGTTCGCAAACAGCCAACCCACATTAGGTACAAATCAATTTATTCAAATTTCCTCCCCTTTAAGAACAAAAAGTTTGTAAAAATCAAATTTTTTTTAAACTAACGGAACAAACAATGGTCGAGGTGTACAATAGTATTGTATTATTCGATATCTCGTTGCAGTGAGATTTTTACCAATTATTTTGCTACAAGGAAAGAGAAAACGCGGTTTCTGTTGCTTACAAAAATTCTATGTGTTTTGCTTTCCTTCAAACATGGGAAAGTGCAACTCGTAACGAACATTTTTCCAAGTGCACTACATTTATTTTGAAATGCACTAGTTTTCGTGATCCTTGACCAATTAATATCTTTCAATTAATTAAGGATTTTAGTTGAGATAAAAAAGTCAGTGTCACGAACGGGATTCGAACCCACGACCTTCGGCTAGATACGCCGCTACTCTACCACAAAAAGTCAAGTTGAGAAATGGCAAAAGGGAGGGAAAATTCAAAGGTGGGGTTGAGATGGGAAGTTAATGGCCGAGTGGATCGAGGTCACGATAGCTCAAGTGGTAGAGCAGCGGCGTATTTAGCCGAAGGTCGTGGGTTCGAATCCCGCTCGTGACACTGACTTTTTCATCTCAACTAAAAACCTTTATAAATTGAAATTTTTTTGAAAGTTTGTTTTATAGCATTGTAATGAAAATGTAACAATCTTAAAAATTTACCAAAAATGTTTCTTTAAATTTATTTAATTATCATGTTAACTAAATAAATTATACAGTTGTACATAAATAAATTAATTAAAAAACAGTTTAACTTTTTTTACATCAAGACTATTCATGCTAACTAGGTAACAAATTAAACTGAAATAGACTGATTTTCTGTTACAATTTACAGATCTAGTTTCCTCTGTCCTCAGATAACGGACATGGCTCTCATATTGTTTTTTTCCTCACGCAAAATTCTTTTTTCCAACCGAAAAACTGCAGTTGACTAGGAAATTGCTCTTTGGGAGAAACAATTGATGTAGACAATGATGCCTGAAGTAAAATGTGTGAAATTCGAAAGTATGCGAAGCGTTGACGTGTAGTAGAAGGCCGAGAAGTCGAAGTAAGATTTTCCTTCATCATCTTGGCGCCTAAGCGA